ATTTACAACTTATTACCTTGGGATTTGCCGCTACGGTGTACTTTATAGTAATGTAAAAATGTCCTAACTGAATGGTATACTCATGCAATGGTTATCAGTAGTACCGAAGGCTGAATATCCGGCTGAAGAGGCATAATGGCTATAGACAAGCCCCTCTGAGTGTCAGAAGTATACCAAAGGTATTTACATTGGTCTTGAACTATTCTAGCACCCGTTTATATGTGTTCTGCGTGAGCTCAACGAGGTAGGTGTCGAGACGCTCTCTACATCGCCCGCCGACCGCTGGTGAAAGGCTTCAGCCACCGTCCGCTTAGTCAGCCTCGGGGATCTCGGCGACGACATTTGTGCCAGCCGTCCTATAGCGTTCTCCTCCTCTTGTTCGTTCTGTATCCGGTAATAAATTAAAAATAGATTTGTATTATATAACACTGCACGTGCGCCCTAGTAAAGGAGGAGCGAGAACGCTAAGGACGGATGGTTCAGGAGCCTGGCGCTGATGATAGGCCTACGCACGGGCTCAGCGCTCAGCATCCGTTTCCAGTTACATGGAGCTCCGGACTCTGACTGAGGCGTTCTCTTATATTCCGATACGGCTTGATCACTGATGTCTAGCACCGAAATGAGCTGATATGGTATACGTGCCGCTACACATCGAGCTGAAACTGAAGCTTTATTGGTCTGTCCCAGCGGCCAAGACTACAAAACTGCGAAGGTACGTACCTGAGAAATGGCACTGAGTGGGGCATTCGGAAATCGGTGTCGTTGTAAGCAGCCAAGCACAAGCATGCAATCAAAAGGAGCCAGTAGCAGTGTTCAGTATGGTACTATTAAAATACGCGCGATAACATATCAGCAGTCCATTCACCCCCACGCAACGTCCCTACCGCCCAGCCGTAGCCCGCACACACCGTGACATCCCGACACAGCAACTGAGACAGGCACAAGTGCAAGTAATAGCTGCCCTGGGTGATCGGGTCTCTCAGCCCGGGTCCATACCCCTCGTAATTACCCGTGACACCACCCGAGTATGGCGCGTCCTATGTACAGCCAGATGACACCGGAGTTACATGCACCTCACTGACGGCCGTCGTAGCCCCACAAAACTTCTTGCCGAACCCTCTTGTAGTGCTCGACACGAGGGTCGGCAAAGGTGGGCCAGAATTGAATGTACTGGAATATCGGAGGCTGATAACATCTGCTGATCACAGGGGGTTTAAAACTAGACTGCGAGGCAAAGTCAGATGGGGCTTACAATACAGATTTACAGATAAGCCTGTACGGGATAACGATTGCGCAATAGATGAGGCGACCAATTGAATCGTCAGCGCCGACGTCGTGCGCTGGCCGCTAATTGTGGCATTGACTGGCGTCTGGGCGCAAACTGTCCCGACGGACCATGGCCAGACCATGTCGACGTCGCGGACACGTCTTCCGACGCTCGCCTCTTCATGCGCCCCTGTTCCTGGGCGTCTTCGTCTTCGTCAACCCGCTTTCGCTTGGACGGCCGGATGTAGGGCGGGTGCGAGAGGTCCTCATCTTCGTCCGGCAGCTCGAACTGTAGGAACTTGGGAGAGTGGTACGGTAGAGGCTTGGGAGCCAATAACGGTACGCGCTGAGGCGCCGGTGACGGAGAGAGATCGGAGGCGATGGTGTCCGTCGGTGAAGCAGGAACTAAATCCCAAATTAGCACGGAACTTGGGGAAATGAAGAATGCATGACATACATTCCATATGTTGCAGAACAAATGGATTGTACGCCACCTGCGGTAATGGATCCGTGTAGGGGTTCATTGCTGGAGCCCAGGGCCAGCTCCAGTTCAACGAATACTCGGGGAGGGCTGGAGGCAGCTTGTGCGGGTACCCGTAACCAGGGTAGGCAGGGTTGCTGAAGATGTACTGTGGACGTTGGTACAGGTATGTTGTGTCAATGTTGCCGTACTGTCCGTATGTGTATCCGGCACGACCAGCGTCGAACGCGTCGAGGTTGAGACCCGCGAGGGGGCTAACGAGGTTGGAGTGGCTGCCAGAGCCAGTAGAGTACGCATTCATGGTGGCGAGGACGATGGGGTGTAAACGGGCCCAGCGGGAAGGGGCTGCCGCGCCTTTATAAAGAGAAGAGACATGAGATGCACCGAGATCGGATAAGAAGGAGAATATGAAGCCCCTAGCTACGTAACGGTTGTTGCATGTATTTCATCCAGGACGCCGCGCTCCCCGCCGCATGGATATCGGCAGAAAAGCATGGAAGCAGGCCCTATATGGGGTTTCCAAGGGTCAGCGCCACCATAACCGGATATCACAACATCCGTGGGCTCCAGACAGGCCGGGGAAGGCTGCAACAGCATCAGTCCAGGAACTCGTAGGAACATACATTTAGGAATAGGAATTGACGTGTGCAATTAGCGCGAGAGACGAAACAAAATTACCCGGCCACTGAGAAACTGGAGCAGCCGAAGCTGAATCAAAAGGAACCGCGCAGCCTGAAAGGAACCGCTGCGCTCGCCCGCCACATTCAAACAAACTTCACACTCCGATCACCTCTCGGCCCTTCTCCTGTTCGCCTTTGGCAGTTCTCTTTATTCCTTTACGCACTGCTTCTGGCCACAACCGCCGTCACGAGCCCACAGCTGACTCAATTCCTTCCTCAAGACCGCCACACGTCAGGCTAGATCCAGGCTTAGGTATCACCCAGGTACGCTCATCAGCGCTGGGCCCAACTTTGCGTGATCGCTCCTCACAATGCCTGCTCAGATGCAGCGTATCACCTCCTTCAGGCGGCTCCTGTGCCCGGTGTTACGGACACGTTGCTACTCGCAAGCCGTCTCGCAAGGACCTGCCGCGCAGCGTGCCCCATTGGCAGTGCAGTACCCGTACTATATACCAAGGAACTCACGGGGATCTATTCCTGTGTACTCAGATGTCCGCAATGCCGGTGGGAGATATCTGATTCTGATTCGTAACATTGAGGGAAACGTGAACGTGAGTCCCTGTTTGATACCACACTGATATCTCCTCTCTTCATTGGCGTCCGCCTGATGGCATGTTGATGTAACGCAGGCACTGGCACACGATCTTAGAAAAACACTGTTCCCGGCAGAGTCGCCTGAAAGCGCGAGACTTCGTGTGGAGGTGAAAGCTTCGAAGCATCTGATCATTACCGGTTGCCGCGCGAAACACCGAGTTATTGAATGGTTTCAGCAAAGAGGCTTCTAAACATCAAGACCTCGAGATGGATCGCATGCATGCTGCCGATGTAGACTGTCCGGAAGCATCGATACAGGTGCGACAGACGTGATATTTACGGCCCGTGCGGTGCCCAATCGGACACTGCTACCTCATGGGATTTAAGAGCCGTGAACACATTCATGGACGTAGTTCACTGTTTTCCCGAGTCTCTGCGTTCTAGCCAGGAGGTTGTTAACGTTCATCCCGCTTACACACGTACAAGGCCATCTTCTCCGAAGTTTCCTCGCGGTAAGAACGCACAGCTGCAACTCGTACGTGGGTGAACGTCGCTCGGGAACGGACGCTTCTCATTGAATGGATGTCATCTATAAAACCCAGGGCAAGATGACGCTGTCATGGTCTTCTGTTGGGTCGCGACTGCGCCATGATCTCCGGATAAGATGGTGGCCGCTGTATAATATGGCGCCCTTGTGGGTGTGGGTGGATCAGGCATCGGTTGCTGTAACGCGTCTCCTACAGATATAGGCTATCAGACGAAGGCATGCGCTTGTTCGTCCTGCTGAGCGCTCTCTTTCTCCCTAGAAGAAATGAAGTCTCCATCACGGCCCAAGTTTAGCGAAGAGAACTCCACACTAGGAATCCCCGCCACACAGGCTGGGTAGTGGGGGGAAATCGCTGTAACTTTGATGCTGTCAGTACTGGTATATCCACAGACTGACGCTGGGCTTGCCATACAACGCCGCCTGCTTGGTCGCGGTGCAATCATTTTCTGCGCTTTGCGCAAGGGGATCGGCGCACAAACACGGATTCTCAGCCACCCGGCGGCCCCGAAGTTGATCAGTGGTCCGGAACAGGCAACGGGATCGCAGGCTTCATTTCCGGCCGAGATCCGGTAGACAGATCGGGATAATGTACAATGCACTCCAAGCCCTGCGGCCTCTTGCACTGAGTCAGTTATACGACAGGGCCAGTTCCTCGAATCTGTTCTCTTCCTTTGTCTTAAGCGATGACCACGCCGACTGGAACGCCGTCCATCTCGACCCCGCCTGTGCCTCATGGCGTCGGAAACGTGTCCTTGTCGTCAGTCGCGCCGTCTCGGTCGAAAGAACTTAGGGATGGAGGAAGCAGCGCCTCGGGAACTTTTGGTGTTCGTCCACATTCATACTTTGCATTGGCGCTCACATGACGCGGATGAACTGCGCTACAGGTGAAGTCGGGTCTCGCCCAGATGCTCAAGGTGAGTCAATTGCGGTGGAAACTTTTCGAGTCAACGAACATCCTGCAGGGTGGTGTGATTATGGATGTCGTCAGCCCCGAGCAGGTGTGTACCGCCTAATTGTCGTATCTGTACGTGTTTGTGATAGACTCGGGTGTATCAAGGCTAGGATTGCTGAAGAGGCCGGAGCTTGTGCTGTCATGGCGTTGGAGCGTGTGCCAGCTGACATACGGGCCGAGGGGGGTGTAGCACGAATGGTAATGCTATCGCAGTTCCACTCTATCATCGCGCTTATAGTTCCTCTGCATCAGAGCGACCCTGCCCTGATTAAGCAGATCATTGACGCCGTGACGATTCCGGTGATGGCGAAAGTGCGCATTGGCCATTTCGTCGAAGCGCAGGTTTGTCCTTTATCTCCCTGCTGGGTCCCAGATGGAGTATCGTCATCTCGAAGTAGATTCTTCAAGCTGTGGGAGTCGATTACATTGACGAGTCCGAAGTGTTAACTCCTGCGGACGAGGAACATCACATAAACAAGCACGCCTTTAAAGTGCCCTTTGTTTGTGGCGCCCGTAATCTGGGTGAGGCACTCCGCCGCATCTCCGAAGGCGCTGCCTTCATACGCACCAAGGGCGAGGCGGGCACCGGCAATGTTGTGGAGGCCGTGCGCCACACGCGAGCGGTCCAGACTGCAATTAGGCAGTCAAGTGTTATGAATGAAGAAGAGTTATATGTCTTCGCGAAAGAGATCGGAGCACCGTACCATTTACTCAAGGAGACCTCGCGCCTGAAGCGTTTGCCAGTGGTGAACTTCGCGGCCGGAGGGATCGCCACGCCTGGTGCGGTTCATCATCATTGGAAACAATAAAGACTCATGGAAGCAAAATAGCGGACGCTGCTTTAATGATGCAGTTAGGTTGTGATGGAGGTGAGAAGCCACGGTTCCACATCGGGTTGGACGTACTGATCCCGTCATTCTAGTCTTCGTCGGGTCCGGTATTTTCAAGGCAAGTGTGAAACCCTGATGTTGCGGTAGCACGCGTCTGACTGATCATGCGCAGTCCGGTGACCCCGCAAAACGCGCAAAAGCGATCGTGCAAGCTGTAGGTGTTTGCCATCATCTCTAGAGTTGTGGACTTCATGTGTTGATCCGTCACAGGTCACTCATTATAATAACCCCAAAGTACTCGCGGAAGTAAGTGACTTGCCGTACGATTTAGTTTCGCGACTCATGCTCTCTCGCAACAGATATCCGGCGATCTGGGAGAAGCAATGGTGGGCTTGAACATGTGAGTTGCGAGCTTGCATGCGGTGATTGTTAGCTGACGCGATGTATCCAGCGAGCCTGACATGAAGGGAGGTCGGATGGCCAATAGAGGATGGTAAAAGGGAATAAGCACGGTATGTCTATTCTGTTGCGTGGGATATGTACGTGTGCCAATGATTGCCAGGACATATCCGTCGAGATGTATGCGATACAAAGATACGCTGTAGCAATCAAGCAGTCTGAGCTCTCACTTCGTTTGAGGCATACGAGCAACTGCTAAGATCCCGCAGGTGTCTGTTGATGCAGCGGCATCATCCAGATTGTCTTCTCAGATTGCTGGTCTGGTCATGGATTTTTCTTTCGCCGGCCGGTCGGCAACCCTGTGGTTCCTGAGTTCATTCTTTGCTTCCCCTCAGATGGCAGCAGTATCTGTGTACTGCCATTTCTGCCGTCCTGTAACAGAGTACGCCACATCACATGTCGTCAAATGTCGTTATGCCAGGTGTTCACGCATCGGACATGCGCACGGTTGTTGACTTTCGGAATTCCGATGGCGACCCGTGGTGCAGGCAGAGTCTACCACGAGCAACTATCTTCTGCGTATAAGAAACCACCGCATTATATTACAGCGACAGTACAATCCGTCACGAAGTGACTATAGTAATGGTCCATAAGTACCGTCTAGAACGCTAGTCGAGCGCAACAAATTCCGAGGTATATAGGCCACACTGACTCTACAGTTTCGAGGGCCGAGATGAAGCAGGCTCTCCCAGTGCATAGAGTGCGTCGAGCTCAACTTGGAACTTCTTATAGGCGTCCTTGCTAGAAATAGGACACAAAGTAAGCACTGTTGGGTCTTGTCATATACAAATCACGAAACTCACCGCTTGATCTTAAACGTAGGTGTCAATGTACCATCTTCGACGGTGAAAGGGTCCAGAGTGACATGTATGCGTTTGAGAGTCTCAAACCTAATAGCCTGGTCAGCGGACGTCACAACTAAAGATGACATCCACATGCCCTTTCAGATCGTTCCTCTGGGCTTCAACGTCCAATGCCTTCATAATGGCGTCCACGACCCTGTCGTCCCTAGTAGCAAGGCCTAACGCTAGCTGATCCTCCGGAGAAATCTTCTTGCCGGTGATATCGGACGCCAGGGATGCAAGCTGTACTGGGTCGGGCACGACCACGCCGATCAAGAACGATTGCAATGAATCGCCATGCACGTATACTTGAGCAACGAGTGGGCAGGCGCTGTAAAGATTCTCAATCTTTTCAAGAGCCACGTATTCTCCTTGGGCAAGTTTCATGATGTTCTATGAAATGGTTAGAGTTTATGCATCCAGGAGTAATGAACAGACGTACCTTGACACGGTCGATCAATTTAATTCGACCGCAGTCGTCGATAGCGGCAACGTCGCCAGTGTGCAGCCAACCCTCGTCATCGAGAGTCTCTTTCGTATTCTTATCATCTGATACTTGCTCGTGAATTTACGAACGGGTAGCAAGACAGTTAAACATACCCTTATAGTAGCCGCTGAAGCAGTTCGGTCCCCGCACACACAATTCGCCTCGGGGGAATGGCTTGTCCTCTGAGGTGTAGCCCATGGCAGGCACATCGACAAGCTTGACTTCGTTGCAAGGTTGGGGAGGACCAACCGTCCCACTCGAAGTAGGATCATTTGGCCAGACACGGCTACAAGTAGCGCCATTCTCTGTCATGCCGTAACTGCCATTGCGCTGTTAGCCTCGAAATACACCATAAAACACGATGTGATGCTCATACCCTACAGTCAAGAGTCAGAGACCCGAGTACCATAGATATGATGACATGCTTTACCTTCGACAACGTCACACGCAAGCGCAATCTTCAGGAAATCCATCACGTCAGGGGCAATAGGTGCAGAGCCGCAGGTAACCATTTTCAGGTTGCCGCCAAGCACAGCGCCGATCTGAATATGGGTGAGTATGATAAACGGAAGACTAGAGGACTCATCCTACCTTTCTGAACACCAGTCTGTCCCATAGCGCGTGGGTATTGATACCAGTGGTTCGCAGCCTTTGCAATTTTGACTCAAGAGCCTTGGCGAATATCTTCCCCTTCAATCCTGGAGCATTTCCAGCCACCATAGCCGACTGGTAGACACGGTTCAATACTCGAGGTACAGAGGGGAAGTAGTTGGGTTTGAGAATTTGCGCATCTTCCAGTAATTTCAAGGGGTCTCCACTGAAGTATCCTACGCTACCACCGATGCTGATGATAAGCAATTCTGCAATTCTCTAGAATGTAGCCATTAGATACCGCGCCGTTGGATAGTTTCACTGCAACTTACCTCATATATGTGAGCGAGAGGGAGATAGGACAGTAGTACGCCACGGTTATCGAAGCCTGTGCCGTGTAAGCACGAGTCCACGGCACTCGTCAAGTTTCCGTGAGTCAGAACAACACCTGAATTTATGATTTCAGTTTAGAGGAAGGGGTCTCAAATTGTGAAGCGCTGACCCTTGGGAGTACTGGTTGTGCCCTAACGTACATGCTCAGCGGATGAACCCCCTAGGCTGAGAGGCTGAGGTTACCGCGACTTACAGAGGTATAACATAATGAAGCGACATCATTGGGAGTGACCTTGAAAGGTTCGACAGGGCTCGCCTTACCCTCGGCTTCAACTGAATGACGTATCTCAGATATGTTGGTCAACAGAGCACGTCATGGTTATGCTACGCACGTTCACGCAGTTCTTTCACCTGCACCTTCTGTAGCTCTGCCCAGGAAGAGACCACAAATTTTGCCTTCGGTGGTATGTCATCAATGCATACAATCAGCTTTAAGATGCCAAGGCTAGGGGCAAGTTTCAGGAGGGTGGGTATATGCTGCCATGTCGCAAACACGACGGTGAGATGGGCATGCCGGATGCTACATCTGGTGAGTAAAGCCTGCGGCAGAAGACTTTGGGAAAAACATACATATATCCTAATAGCGGCGATAAGTCAGGGCCCCGCCACAACCAATGGAGCAAACACGTACCCACAGAATCCCGCCCCAGTGTGTCATACAGACTGACCCCTATTTTCTTGTAAGCATGAAGCGCGAGGTCAATGATTTGCCATTCTTTGAACAATCAGATGCGGGGGTCAATTCAGTCGGAATTTGGAGGTGAGGCGTATCACACGGACCAGGTCTGTTTTGACTCCAAATGCCGACCGTATCCATTTCCCCGCCGCCCAGAACCCCGCTCTGAAACAGGGCATGGAGCGCACTTCCTATGGCCCGCCGTCTTACGTCTACCTCGGCATACGTCTGCCAGACAAAGTGATTTGCGAGCTGATCCTCAGCGAGCTTGGGCCGGTACCCGAGGAAGGGCTGGTCCTTGGAGAGAGCATAACCGGTCTCGTAGATATCGAGGAGTGTGTTCAGGCGGTTGGGCTCGCACCCGAGGGGGAGTAGGCCCCAACAGCCTACGCGACGAGATGTCAGACAAGGCTCAATTCCGCGGACGCTTCGCGCGTCGCGACAGCAGCGTTCCATTACATACCGTTGCGGTAATGCCCTGTTGACACGAGCGGCAATCGAAGCGGGGCCAGTCGTCAGTCTATACAAACGCAACGCGCCGACGTAGTGGCAAAACGAACCAGTTTGTCCAGGCCTCTTCGTCCCTGGGACTTCTATGGACTGGCGCTTCAAGTCTAAGTCAGCGGGGAAGGGGACTTGTTTGTTCAACGACATGTCGGTATTGCGCTGGGCCAGCGGGCGAAGCTGCAGGAGATGGGTCGTCAATGGAAAGGGGGTTGGCTGGTCATACAGCCAGTGGAATATTACCCGCGGATGCGACCATTGCCGGTGGCCAGCGGTCAGAGACGACTGCAATTACACGTGATTGCATCACCCCCATATGATGGGCAAGGCACAATGCAGCGCTATATTAGTCTTTCGATAACCTTTAGCAGTCGAGCGTACGAGAGGTGGCTCGAGCGCAGCGACGTCGGAGCCATTCAGGCCACTCACAACCGGTCATTCAGTTGCATGACATGCCATCAGTGGCCCAATGCATAGAGTTATCTGATAAAGGCCGCGCATATAGTCGGTAATTGTCCAATAAAATATGCACACATTGGTAGCCAAGTAGCATGAATTACATCCGTAATGTCTGAGCAATACAGTACAGTGGTCATACAGCAAGAGGAGAGATACCTGGGTCGTAAACACATTCATCGTCATTCATGAGTCATGCCTCAGGGAGCTCTCAGGAACATCTGTAACACGTCAATTTGGTACCTCTGAACAAGGCATGGGACTCACCTCCATGAACTGCTGGTAACTGACTTGCACCCAGCCATCGCGGTCAGTGTCAAGCCTAAATGCAAGGCAGAAGTCAATTTCGTATCGCGAGACCAGATAATGTACTTGCTGCTGAAATGCTTCAGTCAAAGACTTCACCACTACACAAGCTCTCACGAAACGGTCGAACGAGATACCGGGCGGAGGCGCATACCCTGACGTGGGCCCGGCAGCTACGAATACCGGGAATCAAATTGTCAACTCCCCGGTCGCAATAACGAGCATGTACGCACCATATTTTGTCTCAACCAACTGAAGCAGTCTAGGTGACAGGTTGTACCCGAAGCTCCGAAGAGCTTCGGATAGCTCATGCCCCTCGATAGTCCCTGAACCGTCCCTATCGAAGTGCCGGAAAACGTTCTGCCAATCGGCGATGTATTTCCACAGACCCGCAAACTCTTCAGTGGATGATAGCTCGTAAATGTTACGATCAAGTCGGAATGCTCATGGTGCATACCATTGAATCCTATCGTCCCGCTTCGGTCCGAGTCCTGGTGTACAAGTTGAGGTCCATGTACAATAGGGAGTTAGACGCAAAACGCACAAACATGTTCATAAGCATCTTCACTGTGTCCAAATCGAATTCTAGCGCCGAACCGTCAGGAATCTTTGATCAAAGGACAGAGCATGGTATTGTGACATATGACATTCTGTCTACCGGGCGCACGCAGTCCCGGTACCGGCAGTTCAACCGCATCTCAGACACTGTGAGGGGTGCGATACGGGATACTGCCCACACACGATCCGATTCGGATTGAGATACAGAGTAGATAAGCACTTACTCGTCCAATTTCCTAAGCATCCGAGGGGAACCCGTATTAGCTTAGCTGCAGCGATCTCCCAACGGACATTCACCATTCACGAGGGCAGCTTGAAGCTCATTCAGAGATATCTGGCCGGAGCGATCCGTGTCCACAGTTGAGAACCAACGCCAGAGTTGGGGGTCAGCGTTAGGAGGGGGCCCGTAGCCGCCGTAGCTGGGAGGAGCAGTGCCATAGTTCTGATAGCTTTGACGAGACTGGGAATGAGAATGGTGAAGAGGACCGTGGTGGCTGCGTTGGCTGGGGTGAGAGTACATGGTGGTGAAGAGCACAGGTAAGCGTCCGACAGTATGAGCGCCGACGAAACTCAAACAGTGATATCGTGGGAACCAAAGCTTGATGAGCGCACTCTATAACATAGATATCTTTTTAGACTGTCCTACTTGAAGTTGCCCGCCTCATGATACAAAGATGACTCAGGTGTGTGACTGCCTCGCTCCGCGAGCTCCTGTCCGTAGCCAAGCGTCAGCAACTGACTAGAGTGGACGGAGTAACAAGCGCAAGCGGGCTATACAGTGAAGGATACTTGCCTCAGCACCTATCTTGCTCGGCGTAGTATCAGCATGAAATTATCAGAGTAGGGTGCGACGAAAGGATACCTCAACGACAACGTTGCAGTCGAACGTTCAGAAGGATGATCCTCCGATGTCCCAGGTCGGAAGGGTAACAGCCACAGAAGTGTTTACCGATGCCACGTGATTCATCCGGGGCACGGAATATTCTCAGCCAATCGGACCCGCCCCGCCTCCGGTTTGCCTCCGGTCACTTGGTATCCACTGGCTCCTCCCTGATTGGCTCCTTACTGATTGGCTATTGCCGCGCAACTCAAGTGTTACCTAAGGTTAAGAGATACCTGTGATTCGCCTCAGGTACATACGAAGTCCGTGAGTTCTGCTCCACTCAAGTTTTGCTTCGCTCAACTCATATATCCTCGCTGTCTGGAAGAACCGCGACATGTCGTGCCCCAATCTCAAAGCAGTCATATTCGATGTGGGTATGCAAGTCCCCCCTCTTTATCACGCGGTAGATTCAATAGATGAAGTTGAGCTAACGGCATCCACCCATGAACCACAGATAGGTGGTGTAGTGCTCAAAAGTCCTTTCATAGCTATCGCTTCCTATGAGTGCGAGCATAATATTCCCAAGAACTACATCAATGTCTCAATGTGGGTACGATCTCCTGATCTTAGCTTGGTATTGAAGCCCATACTGACGGTTGTTTTCGACTGTCCGCCTCCGGTGGTTCTTGAATAAGAATGAAGCGTGGCGACAGCGGGGCCTGGCAGAAGTTCGAACGCGGCGAAATGCTTTTGTACGACTTTTACAAGAGCTTCGGCGACGAATTATCGGACACTACCAAAAACAACATTTGGTACATGGAGCACTGTAAAGCAAAGGATATAAGTATGCCAGGTGGTAAATTTTATACCGCCATCAGAATGTTGATGACTTCTGGTGCAGAATGTCCACCACTGCCTGACAAGCTAACGATTGATGGACGCGAGGTATGTTGGTCCTCCCTGACCTCGCTTATTATCTCAGGCAGGTAGGAAAGCTGTTTGGTCGTATGATGAGAGAAAGTGCAGAATACGATGAACGGGTGGTCGAAGCAATCCACCGGATTCGAGGTTCGTCCGTAATACGCCTGCCTGATCGGATGGCATAAAAAGATGGACATCTATTTTATTAGCGGCAGGAAGATGGCGTATCATTGCACTCACAAATAATTTTACAAAGTTCGATGTTTCGCAAGACTCAGGGTCCTCCCGATTCAACGCAAAGGCGTTATCAGTCCCCGGAGCTATACTATCACCTACGGAATTGGCATTTTTGGGCTGGGACAAAGGGGGACCAGTACCACCACGCCTGAGAGCCTTATTTGACGATTTCTGTGACTCCAGCACACTAGGCATGCGGTGAGCCTGTCATATATCACTGCGCGTTGACGGGCAAGCACCGATGGAGTCCGCTATTGTTAGCAAACCTGAGCCGGAATTTTACCTTCTAGCCTGCCAAAGAAATGGCATTGCACCCCAAGATGCGGTATTCTTGGATGACATCGGAACGTGAGTGGTTCCGCACAGTTTCTCCACTCGCAGAACGTGCAACCATCTGCCTGCCGTCGTTCCCATCCAGAAACCTCAAGGCAGCCCGGGCTCTCGGGATGAAGACGATACGTAAGTATCAGCTCCTGCCTACTCATCTTCCCCCCGCCGGTCAGCTAGCCTCGTGACTTACTAATCATGACATTTGCCCTCCTTCCATCTCTTTTGTCAGGCGTCCCTATTGGGGGATCTTTAGTCGCTCTAAGAGAGCTGGAAGGCATGTTAGGCATAGACCTCACGAGTGAGCGGGACTGCTGTGCGAAGCTGTGATTACGGGAGATTGCCGTATCCTCGCAAAGGAGTCTGGGGTGAGACTGGGCATACAAGGTTCATGCTAGTTCATAGATCCTGGGACACTCATACTGAGTTGATCTAACGAAGCACTACTTCATCGCTAATTCAACGCGGAGGCATCCGCTGGAGCTATACGCGAGTGGCCGGATTGGCGAGCTGCGCCAACTGGTTCAGTCTGCAGTTTGGCTTATTTACCCGCACTGCCTCGAGGATTCTGGGAAATGCACTGTTTGGGACGGTTTGTACAATACTCTCTGCCCATGCGCATCATGACCTGCATGTTTTGAGGCGGTCAACGTGACTGTTGTCCCACCTCGGATATACCAGAAGGTGGATGTCAAGGGTTCCGCATTTCCGGCCCAAGCAATGAGCATGGGAGATATTGACCATCGGATTCAGGAGTATGTCTGAGTGTCCCTGAGTTGGTGCGCTAATGTATCACAGCATGACAGGCGCGAGACACTCGTGCCTCTGCAAACATGGAGGCTCATGAACTGAAGGAGCTCCGTGGGCTGCCGCCTGCTGCTTCCCCATACCGGACGTTGTTCTGAATTCCAACACGAACTAATAGCGCCGCCGCCTGCCATTGGTAATGTCTTCCATGATGGGCCTAACGCATTATGACAGGTCGCGCGTACTATGGCTTTGGCTGAGAACAATGCAGAAGGTGTTCTCAGCTGGTCCGACACGTTCTGGTGTGCGAGAACGCATGCCGCAGTGACAACTCATGCCTTGGCGCTAGGGTCATCATGGAGGTATGAACGATCATTTACAAGTATGACAGGGTCTGCTGCATTCTACACCGTCAGAGCCTATGGCTGAAATTGACCGAAGGCTTTTGGCCCAGTTGCCTGCAGAAAGGTTCGGTCGGACTTTTTGCATTTTCTGATACCCGCGCACTGCGAAGATATGGGAAAGATGCGCATTCCGACGTCGGGATGGGCGGGGGTTGCTCAAATATACTCATTCTTCCCGCTGATTGGCCAGACCGAGGCCGAGGCAGTTGTTTGTTTATATCTGGGGGTCCGGGGCTTCTAGATCTCCTATCGGGAGTTCCGTCGAGCTTGCTGTCGTGATTTCTGCCATGACCTAAGCTGTAAACTTGCAATTAGCATGCTCGCAGGACTGAAAAGGTTTAATGCTCATCACTTCCCCCACTTCTGAGCCTTCGGCAGGCGCTTCTCATCAATCCGATGCATCCACGAGAACCCACCTTGAAGAACAACTGGCTACGGATCGGGCCGGCCCAACAATCCTAAATCCTGCGACACCTTCCATTAAACGGCGGGAGGCTTGACTAAACGCTACCTTCCACCGCGTGATGCCACGTACCGTCCCGCGCATGACTCTGAACGGACTGATGCTGCTATTATGTACGACGGGTATAATTACATATTAGTATGACAGGTCTACGAAAAAATGGGAAATTGGCCACAGATGACAAGTACATCATGATAGAATACATTAAGTCCCTGGTGCGGGGCTCGCAGGAGAATGGAACAAAGGGTCAGATGTATCAGTCTGCCAGTGGTGGTAATAGGTGGAGAAGTCGGATAAATACCAGAAACATACGGATATAATAAAATAACGCCAAGGCCGACGTCATGCATGTTATGGTGAGAAGCCTGGACATGAGGTTTGGGAAGCGACCTTCACGAATATGCGCTGGGATATATCATCAAGGAAATTTGAGAGAAAACAGGAATATCAGTACAGAGATATGAGATGCTACAGGCGGCCGATCCGTGAGAGATTCACTGCCAGACGTCGGGGAAGGAGGTCGCGGAGGAAGAGTAGACAGGCGGCGCGGCGGTAGGGTCAAAGTATCTATTTTGATGTTGCTGGTACACCCCGGCCGTCGTCGAAAGTGGTCCAGAGGAGCCACCCGCGGGCGTTGTAAGGACGGATGCTGGGTGTCGAGACGGGAGTGTCGAGGAGCCCGAGGATGCGGTATAGTTGTACTGGCTGAGGTCGTTGGACGGGTAGTACAGCTGGTGACTCTGGCTGCCTACGTCGCCGGCCCGAGAGTAATACGCGGTGGAGCGCGGAATTGACATGCTCGCCATGCCGGAAACCCCATCCGATAGACTGACAGACGACCCCGTCAGGGTCTGGCTGGATGACGAGAGGAAGGAAGAGTGCGAAGACATCGGGCGGGGAGAAGAAGTGTCACTGCGATTGGAAGCTGGGATCGGCCAGCTGCCATCAGCACTAGTAGCAGAGGATTGGCGGAACCGATGGCCAGGTGACGGAGGCATGGAAGAGACCGCTTGTATACTCGGGAGCTGGGGGGGGACCCCATTCGCGGTATACAACGCATACGGCGGGCTGCCAAACGGGGATTGGGGAGCAGACCCGAAAGCGGTGCGCGAAGACTCGAAGAGTTGCTGAGCCGAGGGCAGTCCAGCCCTAGCCTGTTTGCCCTCCCAGACCAGCTTGACATTCTGTTCGCGCTCCTCGCTCTTGCAGAGGGCCCATCGCATTTCCTTGAGAGCTCGCAAGCAAACCTCGACGTCCTCGTCAGATCCCTGTCCTTCTCCAGCCATGATGAACCCGGCAAAGAAGCACCCGTCTCGGACGATCCCAGCGTCGTATTCGAAGAACGTCGTGCCCAGGTTGTTCTTCATAATTTGGACTACGCTCCGCACTAAATAATGGCACTTCTGGGTCGCGAGTGTGTGTAGACGTCCAGCCTTGTCGTATTGGAGTGATGAGGAGGATGGGTATCCACTGCCGGAGGACGAGGATGACAGTGCAACGAGACGCTGCTTCAGCGCTTCGCGAATAACATTGTCTGTATGAATGCAGTAATTATTATATAGTGCAAATAAAGAATCGAGAAGACGTACGACACTCGAATATGTATATCTATCAATCCACAGATTAGTCCGTAAAGCAAAGTAATCCATGGCTGGGGACGCACCTGCCATCCATACACAAACCGAAGCACTTCATCTCTGGACAGGACACCCATGGAGCCTGCGGTAGGGGACTTGAGCGTCTCGAGCTCCTCCCATGCAGTGTCGAGCATCTCCCATGCCTCCCGCACCGAACTCTCGTCTATCTCGCCTCGTTGTCGGGCCCTAGGACCAGTTAGAGCTGCATGCACAAGGCGGCACGCGTTGGACACCCGTAGAGGCACGGCGCCGTAGTGATAGTGGACGGTGTAGGTCAGCGAGGTGCGGGTGAGTGGTGGAGGAGACGGCATGGTCGGCGAATGGGGCGTGGAGGACGGGGAGTGAGTGGACAGCGGGAGGGGCGGCAGCGTCGCTTGAAACGCATCGAGGTCATCTTCCGATCTGTGGCGTGCGCGAGGGTAATTTATCAGCACTAGTGTGGGTGGGCGCAGGCACGGACGCCCCGACAAGTAGGCCCGAGCGATAGGCACCATATATCATACAACGGCGGAATACTCACAGGTACAGTCGTCCGCCTTTCAGCCCAGTCGTAATGCCCTCGTGCGCGTAGGCGTACCAGAATATTCGCGCCCGGACTAGAGCGTCGATATATTCACCCTGGCCACTGTGTACCGGAGCAGGTGGCGAGAGACTGCACAGGGTGTATATCTGGCTGAGGGTTGACTCGTACATCGTCTGCAGGGAGGGGTGCGCAAGACACGTAAGGCTCCGAATCAGGACGGGCTTACTAATGTGAAACTCACGAGGCGTTCCATGGGGGGCTGCATATCTGAACAATACCACAACGTCAATGGATATAGAACAATTGAAAGGCGAACCGTTGCTTACCGACGGTCAGTGGTAATACAAGCAGCAGGACCCTGACGCCGTCCCAAGACGGTTTCCGCAGTATACCACATACGTCGATTAATCTCAGGATCTCTCGGAGCATGTCGTTCGTCCTGTCCTTCCTCCTTCGTATAGCGTCATATCGTTGCTCGATACCGCGAAGCGAGAGGTCGTCGGTGTTGAGATACAAGTTGCCACCCGGGGCTTCAGCTCCAGGGGACGCTGACGAGCGCTCAGAGGCATGTCCAGATGCGGATGCCGAATTGTTGGTGGCGTGAGGAAGGGAGGGGGACAAGAGAGGTGCTTCAGACTCCATAGGGTTGCCGGCTTCATCAAGGCCGAAGCTGTTTGCCCACACCACGAGGACCATGGCGATGAGCTGACCAGCGGTTCCCAATGCATCTGGGTTGCCTTTGCTGTACTCGAAGTACCGCGAAGTGAATTCCAAGGGATCCAGAATGGGTCCTACAATGGCAAGAAGGGTTAATATCGATTGGACTGCTTAGCGAGTGCATCAAAGCAGTTAGGGAATGACAGCGGCCCGAAGGACGGCACTATCTCGTGAGAGAAGCGCGAGGCAGTCGTAAATGGGGATTACGTAGAGCATGTGGTAACGTCGGGCAACGCGCCTCGGAGATGAGCACAATTAAAAAGTACTCACGCTGCATGCTGAACGCTCTGAAGAAGGGCGAGCTGAAGAACTCGGGCTTCAGCTTGGGGATCGCGCACAGGGACGTCTGTGAGACGGCGATGGTGTGTCCCGCGAGGAGGTTCATGGGATGCGAGTCGCTCTGCTGCACCTTGCCGTACACGGCCCTGCCAGGCGAATAAAATGAGCGGGCGGGGTGTGGGTGGGTGCTGCGGGCGGACTCACTCTACCTGCTGGAGGCGTCTGCCTCTGCGGAGGAGCTTGACTGCCTTGACCTGGGCAAACTCGTCTCTGGAACGGGACGCAGGGGGCATGAGTACATGGACGATGGGTGCGGATAAGGATGGAGGACGGAGTTTGTATGTGTTTACGCGTGTAGCAAGAAGGCAGGGCTATGAACGTACACGCATTTGAGACCCCGCTCTCTGCAGTTTGAGCACGCGATGAGCTGTCCGTCGAGGGCCGCGGCCTGGAGGTCCTTGAGGTCGCATCGCACCCTGTGCTTGGGGAGGCGGCGGTGAGCGGTCTGGTCAGCGAGGGCGGGGGCGGGCGGGGGCGTACCTGCGCATGCGACAGGCGCCGCACGCCGAGAACTGCTGCCTGGCGGACTTGGGCTTGGAGGACGTGCGGCGGGCGGGCGGCGGGGGGTAGGGCGGGCTGGCGGAGGATGCCCTGCGGTCGTCGGAGGAGGAGTCGGCCTTGGGGGACATGGTGGCCGTGTGGCCGGGGATGGGAAGGCGGGCCAGGAAAGGGAATGCGGGCCAGTGGCGCGGACGGGGGGTTATATAGGACAGGACTCGGACGCGCGCCGGAGGAGGACGCGGCGGGGAAGGCGGAGGGGGACGAAAACATCGGAAGAAGCGGTCGGTCACTGGCGTCACAAAACATATCGCGTCGAGTGACAGTCGAGTGACTGATCGCCTCTGTCCGTCCGCTCCTGCTCGCCCTCGTCCATCCCTCCTCGTTCCCTTTCCGGTCTCGGCCACTTTCGAGATCCGCCCCCAGTTCCTTAATTACCAGATCTCCCGATCCGTCGCCTGTTTGGCCCCGCCCCGTCCCCATTGGCTCCCCCGCCCAGGCTCCCGCCCAGCTCAATCTACCCTCTTATGCCCTCCCTGCCCTCCCGCGGCCCAGTGCCTAGAAAATAAAATACAACGCTGCGCCCTGTAGCACCCAGCAACAAATTACAACGCCGCCCCACCGTACCTAAATTTTCCTTCGTCTATCCCCGGCAACTCCTCTCCAGCAGCGTGTCGCACCGACATCGGTGCCAGCTCCATATGCACCCCCCGGTTGACACTCTTCCATCGCGGTCTTCGCGACGGCCCTCGCGTCCTCCACCTTCCCGGCGACTTGGGCTCCGTCCAAGATCCCAGAACCATATCTCTCATTCCGTCCTCGACTTGTCTAGCCGCGCCAACCAGATCCACCCTCGCACGCTCCGACTAATGGCGGTGCGAATGCCGTGTAAATTGACTCCTGCCCATTCCTAGCGCGATATGGTTCCAGATACGGGCGAGAAGCAGCGAGTTCTCACGCCCCGTGTGCACAGCCCCTCCCTTGGCTCAGCTCTCCGGTGCTCTCCGGCAAGCGCCATACTCACCGACGCTCTCGTTCTCACAGACCGCAGAAAATCTACCACACGGGTGCTTTCATGCTGGCATACCATGTACTGGATATTGCTTGCTCTACCCCTCATCATGATACCCATGCGGGTCCCATCACCGTCCGCCGGTTCGCGGCCCAAACAGCGGCAATATCTACCTTACTCTGCAACGACCCGTATGATGACAATCACACCTATTTCAGTACAAGGCGGCCGATATCGAATGGCATTTGCCGGCCTCTACTCTCCAATCTTCGCACGGAAGTATATGGGCATGAGCAACACTACTGCGACGCTCCATCGCGGCTAGCTACCCTCCGACTAACTTGTCCAACCCTCCAGCCTTCTTGATCGCGCGTCCCAGCTCCCCAGCCGTTCTCTGATCCACGTTCAGCTTTCTATCCCTCGCCATGGCTTCCAGATCCCTCCCATGCTTGTGCACGAGACGCTGGAGGTACCAAACCTCCGTCGACGAACTATGGCGTGTAGCTCGTGTTTGGGAGCTTGACAGCTCTTCTAGCACTAAAAAGGAAATAATTAGTTTCTATAAACAAATGGCGTGCGCGAAACACGCAAGCCGCGGCAGAAAATTATGACCGCAAACATAGAACGAAACGCGGAAGCATTCTGCACTTCAAGCTGTGAGCCAAAGGGATCGAGGATCTCTGCTCTAGAAGTATCCCTGAGACTGACGTGGGGGATATGCCCAGATCTCACTCATACTCTAGAGGGCACGAGATGGCGATCCGGCCATCCTTCCTGTCAATCAGGAATGAAGCTTTTGATGCGCTCTTTTCGCATCGTCCGCACTGTACAGCAGTATGCCAGCGTTTGTGTAACATGCCTAGCTTCCTTGAATCGCTTTGGCCGGTACTGCCTTCTCGGGCGTCGGCCGGAAGATCCTGTTGGACGCCACTGATATCATGTCCTTCCGGATATCGGGCTCTGAAAGCGTAGGGAAAAGGCGCTCTGAAGCCTTACCCCCATGACCTCGAATGCAATCAAAACAAGGAAACCTCGTGGACTCACGGCAGTCCGCGTACGAAACAAGATGACAGTATGAAAAGTGGGCATCACGCTCACCTTTGACGACCCCTGTGGATCTATTCGTATCGTCTGCGCCAATCGTGACCCAACGCCCCGCTTCGGCCTTCGGTGCTTCTTTCCATGCCTTTTCCTCCACCAGTACATCTTCGTCCTCTTCCTCCTTGTCACCTTCGTCTTCGCCCAAATCGACATCCAGAATATTGCCGTCTGCATCTCTGATAATGCGACCATAACCCTTCGGTACTCCTCCGTCCACCTCTTTTTCCTTACCCTTCGAAGGGGTACTCCGCTCGACACGCGCGGGAAGAGCGGGAGCCGAGGTGGTGGCTGAAGTTGATGCGGCTGCTGAAGAACTCGTTCCTAGAGGCATCTCGACTCCTCCCGACTGCGTTGGGTTTAGGGAGTGTACAAGGCCTAGGGCTTCGTAGCTATAATCCGCGCGCGATAGACGCGGAAAGTCAGACATGGATCACTCAAGGGGATTAATCAAAAGCATATGATGCCCGGGTGCTGTGGTACCAGGAACATTATTCAAAACAGGAACGTACTTTTGTCGGACGGTCTTACTTTTATCCCAAGCATCCTGCAGGGCCTTCGGACCTCGGATCGCTAGATAGAGTTGATTTGTTAGAACCAGCACAGGCGGTCGCACACTCGTATGGAAGTCCACTCCGGGAATTTAATGGAAGCGCAAGAAACCCAGAACCACCCCTCCAACAGGACCTAGTGTGAAAGACTGGATAGCAGATCGACCTACGGGGTTGTTTCTTCAATAAACGCTTAGCTCGGTTTGAATGGCGCACAGGCTTGTGCGAGCCAGATCTACTCTTCCGACGCTGCCGCGGATTGGTCATACTGCTCGGTCGGAAAGAGATTCAGCAAAATATAGAAGCAGTATAGTCACTCGAGTGAGCAGCTGCAGGGACCAGTGAAGCCTAGACGACTCAGAAAGTAGTCAAGAGTAAGTGATCTACTGCTTCGAGCCAATGAGAGCCGGGATACTACGATTTTTCGAACTCCGCCTCAGTTTCCACTTTGGTCGACCGATCCCGAGCACGACTTGTCTTCATTACACTACATTTCCTCTCCATAGGCTGCCTATTCTTGCCTAATAGATCGCCAGCAATGAGCAACTTCCACAGACTAGAAGTCCACCCTACGCCTGCTTACAAGCGCCTTGGGTCCTTTTCCCTTTCAGTGAGTTATTGCTAGCATCGGGATATCTAGGGATGAATGGATGCGAGCCTGACGCCGCAATCCAACCATTCTAGTCATTAGGGAAGCGGTGGGGAACTAGTCTGGGCGTCTGGGGCGCCGGTGCTGGTATCACTTTAATCTACGTGAGTTATGTTTTCCGCTTGTCTTCACTCCCGGTGGTCCTCCTGTCCTCCGCCGAGCTTCCACATGCCCCGACGCTTTGTACCTTCCTGTCGCTGGGCTTGGCCGTGCGACTGGACCCACTGAATTTGAAACACTGACATCTATTTCTTATTCCATGTTAGCTGCTCTCCGTTACACCGATCGTGAAGAACCGTCTGCTAGTCAAAGTGCCGGTGGTGAGCACCTGTGATGCAATTCGTCGGGCGGCTCATTCTGATTGGCGCGAAATAGCTCGGCCGGTACTACGAAGACACGACCCCTGCATCGGACAAGCCTTTCTAATATGGTGTATACTCCGGATTAATGCAGAAATGCCCTTCATTGATCGTCTCGGCCTCGTCGGTGTCCTGTCTACGATCACAAGGAGCGAGCTACGTCTCGAATACCGGTTGAACCGAATAAGATTCGCCTCGTGTTTCTCACTTTGACTGTTTCGGGTTCGGTTGAATCATAGTCGGTGTGATCCTTGGCTTCAACACGAGGCCATCAAGACCTCCAAAACGTCAGTAAGTAGTGGGGAAGAATAAGCCTAACGTCCAGGTAGATGTGAACCGATGATGTTTCGCCGAGCTACAGGTTTTCAGGTCAACGCTATCCCCTCTAGCTCAGTGAGTTGACACAGGGCGCCGAAAGGTACTGAAGACCTCTGGATGGGAGAAAATTCTATGCCGAGAATATTGAGCTGGGCGTGAGCCTCGGATGCCTACGATTCGCGTCTAGTCAGCGGCATGAACAATGGTCGCGGTGAATCTCTGTGTCGATCCAGGTGGTACCTGTACTGCTCGGGTGTGCCGCAGGTTGAGATCATGCTTCCGTGTCATCGCCTCCAGAATCTGCTTCTTCGTCTGTGGGTCCACCTCCGCCGGTTTGCAGAGCCTCTACTCGGATAGCACCTAATGCTGTTTACCTATTTTGTTCACCGTGATTCCTATCAAGTCCAGCGGCCCGTCTCCGGCGCGTTCTCTGAAAAATCATAGCTCGCTCTCCTTTACATGTTTGAAAGGACTTGACCCGTCTCCCTATACATCGTCAGTTGCCATATCCCAACCCGTGCGCCATCAAGCTTGCGGGGATCATCGCAAGTATCTGATTAGTAGGCCTATTATTCTAAGTTATTATACCTGTGGAGAAAGATGTCTTTGCTCGATCGATGGCAGCCGTCAAGTAAACTTCATTATTCCGACAGCGAAAACGTTCGATCCACACCAACGCTCGAACCACCAGCAGAATGCAGCGGAAGCATCTCACTTCGGTCTAACAAGTCGATGCACTGTCGATGCATCATGAGACAAGCGTCCTGGAAAAGGTAGTATGACATCATAAATGGCTCAACGTCGGCCCTGCTCCGTGCTCTGCACCGACGCCACTTGCTTGACTTCAATCTGCCTCGGAGAGGTTCAAAAACCATCCTCACTAATGCCCTGGACATGTGGGTGGCCTTGGAAGCCACATACGCCTTTGCTAAATATTGATACCTAGATCATAAGACGATAACCATCATCCCAAAGTTCCTCTACATGCACATTAGTACGCGCGACCCTAATCACATAAGTACTGCACCTTCTTAAAATTTTGCAGACGGCAAACGAGTACGCTTCAGCGTACGGATAGGTGATCACATCACCATCAACTAGTGACCACGCGGTCTTTCCGGTGAGTCGGGCTACTTCGAATTCTAGAGTTGGCGCAGCTGAATAGGGACAGTCAAGGCTCTGTGGGTTCGGTCAATGACTCTTCTGATGTGAATGGGCTGTAATATATCCTTGTATTTCCACCCTATGTATAGACTCAAGCTATTTGCAACCGGTGAACAAAGGCACCGACCCTACCGGCGGCGAGGTCATCGTGTAGCGTAGACCCGCTACGAGCGTCGGGCTCACCTCGCTGTTGGGAGCACTAATCTGTCAAGTGTCTGCAATACTCGTGCGTCAGCACCAGACACTTCGCGTCCTAGGAGTGTCTTCTGTCATGAAAAGATTTTATTGCAGTATCGACTGACATGCGCAACCAACGTGATGTGGGGTATCATTACATCGTGAAGAGGTCGTGAAGAAATAAATTAGTGTGTCGTCTTGGATGATGCTTTACCTGGAGGACCTAACCACCCTCCTACCTTCCGCTATGCCCGTCGAAAGTATGCATCCGAATATAGATATAGCGACCATGGTCGCGACCCACATGTACCCTCGTAACAGTTGCTTCTCCGAGGACAAAGCAAATAGCGAGCTTCAACCCCATGCGGTGAGGGCCCTGCGTGACTAAATACAAGTACATTGGACGCACCTTACAACAGCGGGGCTGATTGCGCGGGCAAAACACTGTGCGAAGGTCGCTATACCGTTGGTGGCGCCTAGGGCCGCAACACTCGGAGCATTCTCCTTAACTAGGATCATATTAAGCCTGGTCGGAGCAATGGAAGATTAGGAATACGGCCTCGACAAACATAATTAGGCATGACGTACGAGTATGCGAGGCAACCTAATCGAGAGAGTGCCAGCATTATCGCCACACCTATCCATACCAATGCCTTCGCATCCACGCTTACTTCGTCGTCTTGCAAGCCGGACCTCGCTATAGCGTTCAGCAAGGGCATCATCAGAAAGACGCATGGCCACAAGCCCATGCAAAAAGTGTACACTCTGGCGGTGTCGAATCGCCTCAGGACAACGGGAAGCAAGAAAAGCTGAACGCAAGCAGCTAAGCTGCCACACGTGGCGAGTGAATAACCGATCTCTGACGGCTGACATTGTTAACTTAGTGACCTAGCTTACCTGCGGAAGGAGAACTTGCACTTACCGAAAAGTGTAGACCACCTGAGGATATCGGTGAATAACACACGAGGACAAAGACAACATCAAATGCGGTCTCGACGAAACTCAGGGCAAATCCAGAAGCACATATGGCACGAATTATTGGCAGCGACAGAATTTCTTTGGCACTTGGAGGCGGTAACTCCCGCTTCATGTCATCGTCGTGGTCTGCAGCACCATATGACACAGAGTAATCGCGAGTGATCATGCGTGTTTTGATCGGCAGCGTCTGAAGATGCAAGTCAGAACGAAGATTCGGACTAAGGTGCAAACTTCTCACCTCTTCTAAGAATAGGAGAGCTAGTGCAGCACCTAAGAGGCAGATGCATGAGGCAACAGCACACGGTAGGAAGTAGGGGAAAGTTCTGAAGAATGCGCAATCAAAGACCTGCGGAAACTGTTCGTTTGGCTTTGACAAGGCACCGCCTAATAATGGCCTTCTCGGAGGGGGATCTATTAGTGTAGGCGGCGGGAGTTGTTGAAAGTCCCTCACCCAACAATGACACCAAGAGGCCACATAAGCCCGAAGAGAGGGTACGCAATTGCCTGGTTTGATGAATCCGTAATTTCAGCCAATATTGACTGGATCACGGCGACGTTGCCACAAAAGATCCCAGCTGGATAATGTCCACCATGAGCGAATGATTACGCGTCTGAAGGTCAAGCCAACACACCCAAGGCGCGCGCTGCTAAAACTCCGGCGAGAGTTCTCGAAAGGCCGAACATGAAAGAAGTAAAGGCGATGCCCACAGTACCCAGTATTACAACAGGGCGTCGTCCGACGACGTCTGTTACAGTGGTCAAGACCAGATCATTGCCAAAATGATGTAATTGCTCACCAGATAGACGTGCCCACTGGTAGATCGATATCAACTGAGCGATCGCGAATGCACTCTCGACCATACCGCTATAAAATCCAATTTTCGACGGATCATCTGTCACATGCATGGCCTGCAGCATCTCGTTGATGTAGGGGAATATTTGTGTGAATGCGATGGGGTCAACCAGCCTAATCGCGCACAATGCGGCCAGCTGTAGCTTTTCCAACGGTCTACCCTTTTGCGGAGAAATCCTTGACTCCAGCGTGTACTCATTCTGTAACAGGGAGGACGTCTCAGCGAAAAGGGTCACTTGATCATGAGTAGCGTTGTGGTGTTCAGTCGCCATTGTAGGATGCGCAGAGGGCGGTCAGAGGTCCGAATGGGAGGAAACGCAGAAAATGCGAGCGCTCTTCAGAGTTTATACCGTCGGAAGGATCAGGTCGAACTTATCGAGATTCGATCGCCGATGGAATCATCTAGAATTGGAGTTCTTTGAAGAGAAGCCTCTACGGACGTAAGAGCAGAGTCAAAGAGAAGAAACAAGCGTTGCAGGCCATTGAGGACGACCGAAGGTAAGTTTGTGGCAGAATCTGTGGCAGGACAACTAGATTGCAAGCAGAGGACGCACCGCAAGCAAGTGTCGCGATTGCGCCATGACCATCTCGAGCCAAAAGGGGAAAGTGGGCCACGTTCTGTCGCAAACGCCCGTGACGTCAGTTATAATCAAGAGCCAATCACGGCTCGCGTCAATTCTGTTTGCCGGTGATCTACGGTGGCCGGCGATCAAACGCGGTTCCAGCAAATATCAATCCACATCAGCGGCATATGCCGGCCTGATATTCTGTCGTGCAGCACTTGCAGCTGTCTCTCAGCGGCTAACTTGGCTTTCTGGTAGTCTATATCGTTCACATTTGCTAGCTTTATCCACTCCCTCGTAATGAACTTCAACGGCCAAGATAATCTTGTTCTGGTGGCGCCTCGCCCGGTGCGGTTGTCTTCAGGTACCCACTTCGCCCTTGATCGCTACAATCGTCTTGTATCAGCCCCTGCCGAACAGAACGATGGGGTATCTGCGGGAGATGCGCGCCAGCAAACACCTTTCGAAGAGTCCAAGCTTGATGTTTTCCTCAATTCTGCTGCATCACTGGGTAGAGACTCCGCTTCGCCGCGTGCGCCGTCCAGGTCTGAATATCGGCTTGATCGTGTGGACGGGATGCTAACCCTTGCGCTTGCCTAGATGTAGCCTTCCTTCCGAAGCGCTGGAAGAATTTTTATCCATTTTGAGACCATCGTCGCTCTTTACGCCGTCATCGCCACTCTTTCGCCCTCTACACGGGCGGACTATGTCAATCTCTTCGCTCCATTCACCCCAGATGCGAGCTCTCCATGACCGCAATAACTCCCCTAGTCCTGTTGCTTACATGGAAGTTGATCGCGTGATCAATGGCAGGAGGACCCCCCATAAGCTTTTGAAGGACAAGGAGAATACCGATGGCGCGCACGAAGCACTGCAGCCTGGCGCTTTCCACTCCAGCCTTCTTTGTAAGTTGTCCGTACTCGAGAACTGGCATATGTGTACCGACGATTACACTAGCCTCTCCTGTCTCCCGCTTTCATACTCGCAACCCGTTCCAGCGCCATCCTTCCTACGAGGTCATGTCCGGGCTCGTCCCTCCCGCAAGCTCAGCCATGTCACCGGCATTGGTCCCTTTGCCCTCTCCGACGCCCACCGAGCTGGACCTGTGATTTGCAAGCCCAACTATGACTCGCCGTCGACACGAACATACCAAGACTATACCGTCATGGCTATGTAACTAGTGTTTTGCAGTGTCCGTTTCTCGTATGTAGCGTCCTGCCTATTCCGATGTAACTTATGGCTCCCCGGCTATTATTCCCCTTCTTTCACCTCTAGTGACCTATATTCGTTGTTATATATCCTTTCGGTTTGTACGTCTTCGGGCATTGGTTAGTATACCCCCTTTGTGGATATATATTATATCTGTGGTATGTTGTCTAGTTAACACGAATCAACAATTGTACTTAGTCACTATCGTTATTTTGCTGCACGCCCAGATCCACGCTGGTGCGTCGCTGTCGTACTCTTGCGGCCAGCTTGTTATTAACCGCTGTCAACAACCCAAGGTATTTCACTGAGCTCTACTTACTCTTGCCAGTCGGGGATGGTAGAAACTTGTGCCTGGTCCCTTGTTCTCCGTATGTTTGTGATCTCCCCACCGTCGAGACCCGCACTCGGCCCCATTCACAGCCTCCCACAAACCTCCGATGTCCATAAATCATGGTCCCGTACCTGTTCCTAGTTGCGTACTATGTTAGGCCTCCCCTCCTGGATCCTCCTCGAGACCGGAGGTGACAGGTACATCAACATACATACTATAGCTAGCGCTGCATAAGGCTAGAATTCTGTGTGAACCAATTTCTCCGCTCTTATGCCAAGACACAAGCCGACGTGCTCCGTATATGTGATTGTATGATGTCAGTCTGCAAAAGTGTCTCGATGGCCCGAAAGTCTTGCCAGGCATGTATCACTCGGGTAGTACGAGGGAGTACGCTGGTACAGTGCGGTACTCCGATGGTACCGGGTTCGCCTTTCCGGCATGTAACATAGACATCCATAGTCCAGTCCTCATTTGCATTTACATATGCAAAGATATTGACGTGGAAACACCATCAACCGATTGCAAGACGAATCACATGGATATTCACGCTCTTTAAGAAGGATAAAGACTCTGCCGAAGGACCCTTCGCACTCGCAACGAAGCTCCTTGACTCTTGAAGTCCGGAGCTGCGCGCCCTGTCCAGGTTAGACGGATACATTACATTGAAACAGGAAGGCGCGAGGTAATCCAAGAGCCGCTATCAATTTATATGTCCCAGGGTGACCTCGCCTGACCGCCCACACCTTCCGTTAAGAACATAGGCGTTCCGTCCTGGTTGATGTAGAAGCTGTCTTCGAGGCGGACGCCCACCTATATTCGTACCAACGGAATGATTGCTTGGTTCCGATACATTGGCAGAAACCACAGCAGACGCACCTTTCCTTCGATGTAGACACCAGGCTCATCTGAGAAGGTATGGCCAGTACGTATCACATCCTCGCTCCCACCGCGTAGGTAAGGAGATTCGTGGACTTCCAGCCCTATCCCTAATGATAAATCCAAGACTTCAGACTAGCCTGAGCGTATTGGAGAACCATTAACTAACCATGTCCGAGTCTGTGCGTGAAATACCTGCCGCGTCCTGCTTCTGATATCACAGCTCGCGCAGCTTCGTCCACTGTCTTCGTTACTGCACCATCGTAAGCAGCCGAAAGCGCTGCTCTCTGGGCTGTATGGATCAGATACCAAATGGACAGGTGCTCTGGCGGTATAACTGAGCCTTCAACTGCGAACGTCTTTTACATACCCATTCGATAATCCTTCGATAGAATCGGAATGCAGTACGCTCACCCTAGTGACATCACTGTTATAGCCATGCAGGGAACCACCGCAGTCGATGAGAACGAAATCCGCCTTACTCAAGACACGATCAGTTCCAGAGCCGTGGGGCAAAGCCGCATTTTCTAATAATGCGTGACAGGCGTTAGTATTCAGATCGGTACTCAAAACATGATGGTACTTGCCGCCGAACAATACAAGGGCAAATACGTTGACTAGACCTGCCGAGGACAGCGCCTTTCGCATGAGTGAACCAGCTTCCGATTCGCGGATGCCAATGAATAATTTCTTTCGCACTTCCCTGATGGCTAAGGCTGTAACCTTTGTCAAGAAGACCATTTCATCGAACCGGCGGCAAATATCCAGAATAAATTGCCTTACTTCATTGACGCACTTCAAGATATCCAGTTCTGCTTCGGATTTGCGCTCTCTCAGCTGTTGCACTTCTATTGGTGCTGGGAGAACCAATGTCTGGGGAGCTGCTGCTCTCAGGCCATCCGCAATGAACGTACGTGTACTGCCGTCCACAAAGATTATGCCATCACCCTCCCCTAAGGAAGGTAGAAGATGGTAAACTGCGACTTTGTAAGGATCTGCTTCCTCCGGCCATTCCGCATATTCGATCTGAGAGCCACTCGGCACATGCAGCAGCTTAGCACGAGTTGCCTCGAATTTCGGCGTCAGTATAGAAACTTTGCCCTGTACTTCTGGTACACCCCCGCTAGAGGAGAGTACCTCGGGGGTGATCACTAGGAGCAGGGGACGCTCGGATAGAGACCACTGCGCGCTCGAAAGATTCGCATAGAATTCGGCACTAGCTCCAGGTTCGGCGATGTAAGCGGAGGCATTCAGGGCATGCAGCACGCGAGCCAGGGCCGTCTGACGACTAGCGAACTCCGAGGGGCTTATCGCAGGTATATGGCTGCAATGCTCTGCCAAGTGTTGGAAGTCGTCTGGAGGCGGTACCAAACTCTTCCCGCGCAGACTCGGAGACCCGGGCCAGAGTGCGTATAAGATACAGAGTGCAACAATTCCTATTGCTCCCTGTTAGATGTCAGACTACACGGTCTACATTCACGAGTATTATCCTTACTGGCAGTGATAAACGAAGAGTAATGAAAGGGGGACTGGCCTCAGGTCCGCCAGGTCGACCGTCAAGATTCTCTACAGGGATCTTCAGAGAGGTTGCCATTAGGGCTGTACACAGCGGGAGCAGCACTGGCAAGCCTCCTTAGGTCAAATTTGCTGCACGCAGCGGATCGCTGACTAACGAAGAGAAGGTACCCGCAAAGGCGTCCGAGTCGCTTACTATTAGAGCCAGCTGATCATGATAGATGTACGGCCAGGCTCCTAAAACCACCGTACGCGTTGACGTTCTCTCGTCTTTTTCATTCTGTATCCGGTAATTCTCACATAAAACATAATATTTCACTTCGAATTCTGCCCTAGTAATTAGAGGAGCGCGAACGCTAAGGACGGGTGGTTTAGGAGCCTGATGTACGGCAAGCTAAAGTGGAGGCTATTTGGGATTCCGGAATGGGCGTGGCCTAAAGCCTAAGTTGGCCCATTTATGTCGCTAAGTTGACGTTGAAAACCGGGACGACCACTAGTAGTACTGGTGCCACTGTCAGTTTCTAATGACTTGTCAAGGTCTGAGTCCTGACTCTTCGAATTATCCGACTCCCGATTGTGATAATAGATACACCTCGCACAGTGCGGAACGTACCTGTTGTTGGTTTAAACGCATCTGACCATGTCTGACATATGATATATCATAATCGAATCACTAAACAAAGGTCCCGGGCCGTACTTACAGCGAGGATGGCAAGTACACCAGGTCAAAAGTCTCAGGCTTTCGGCCTTCTAAGGACATGAATCTACCACGAAGCGTTCCAGTCTCGGAGGGCCATAGATAACTTACGCCAACGCTTGTCGCCAGATGGAGTGTCCTACAATGTGTTGCCATGTATCCGGTGTATCGCCGCAGATAGCCTGACGAAGGCAATCAGGCAAGTAGTTGCAAAGTAGATGATAGCTTTATAAAATCGTTCCCTGTGCATGATTCAGACAATCTCTTCTGGAGGTTGCTACTAGAGTCGGAAGTGAGAGACTGTCCAAGGCCTGTTGAAGGAGATCGCAACTCCAGAGGAATCGGGCGGCTCCTCAGGCTGATCGTGGCAGGGTGGTGGCATTCCACTCACCATATAATCTGCGGCAATGTCACCATAAAGAGCTTCCTCTGGACTCGAAACTTTTAGACGCAGCTGGAGAACTTCGTGATTGCGCAGCCATTGGAAACATGGCCTGTGGTGTGAGGTCCTCACTTCACAGGTGGTAAGCCAGCCTACACCTACCTCACCACTCTTCGATCTTGGAGTCGTTCTATGTCCTTCAAGGTAGCTCAGATGACCCCACTTTGTACATGCATCCCCTGAGACTTGGAAGCCGGAGATACGCGTCGTATGTATGAGTGGAATTGCACCCAGGCCAGTCGCACGCAGTCTCTGAAAAGCGGCACGTCAGGATCAGCTGAGCAGTTCCGAACCAGGCCCCACGAAGATGAAAAGTCTTACCACACATCCACATGGTTTAACATCAGAATCGACCTATATTTTGTGCGCAGTGTCAAACAAGCCAGGGTAGAAGTGTCAAGGTAACTCAAGGGCAAAAACGCTCAATATAGAGCCAATCTAACGCAGCAAGGTCAATATCTTTTCATTCTGTTCGTCCTGACCATGCGTGCCCTCTTGCCAGCCTCTACCAGTGCTACCACGGCTTCTACGGATGCAACATTGCAAGACGCGTGAAGTACCAGCGTGGAAGGCAGTATCCTACACCGTAACAAGAACTATAATCTGGAAGAGAATTTGCGAGCTGCGTTAATTAATATTATTTTGTCCCACGCGTGGGTGGTAATCGGCATGGTCTGCGGCCATGGGGAATCCGAGTCCATCAGCCTCGGTAAGCGTCCAGAGACGTGTATTGTCCAAACTGATACTGAACCCGACCTATTAAGACGGGGCACATCATGGAAGATTTCGAGCCATATGCACGCGTCGTCCATGTCCCGACGGGCGCGGCTCCGCAGGGTCTGCGCAACAGTCTCTGTTCTGCATGCACGAGGGAGGCCATAACGTTAACGACGAACCAACCCACTTCATGTGATCATCCTGGTGTGACCATAAGAATCCATTTCGAGCTCCTGCTCAGGATGAACCGTCCGACGAACCCGAATGTAATGCAAACAATCGAGTCTCTCAGGGCGTGAAGCTTCAAGCTTGTAAGAATAGGATGCGAAGTGAAGCCTCCATGATAATGAAGACCCCGAAACCGTGCATGAGATTTCGGGATTTTGACAGCTATACCACCATTGTTTCTGGAAAAGATTACCATATTGTCAATGTCTCGGACTACATTCTTGGACGTTACTTCGGGCTTCAGAGGATAATAACTAACAGTGTCCAGGGTCATACCGATAAAGTCACGCGTCTGGAGGCGCGAATGCTGCACGCGGGTTCTTCGATACCGGCGGTCGTTGCGCGACAGTGAATCCGCGACGATATCCCGAGTTGTGCAGCATCTCTCGTCCATACGAACTCAGTTCTGCGGTTCCTGACGCGAATAAAAGGCATGGTTACCGTCCCCCCATCTCAACTTTCCTTCCTTTCCTTTCCCCTTCGCTTTCTTTCGCCTCTAGGGCCAGGATGAAGTACTCTTTTTTCTCCGCACTACTAGCGGCGGCCTTGAGCTTACCGAGCGCGGTCTACGCACTCGGCTCTTCGTGTTCTTCCCCTCTGGGAGCCGGAACGGCAGCTCCTGGTGACCCGTTCTGGTTGCAGAACATTGAGCACCAAGGCACCGCTGCCTTCAATCCTGATCCTAGCGCCTACCAAGTCTTCAGGAATGTGAAGGACTTTGGAGCAAAGGGTGACGGTGTGACCGACGATACCGAGGCTATCAAGTGAGGCTTTAGGCTCAAGCTGTGCATATAATACGCTGACGTTAACTAGCAATGCCATTTCATCTGGTTCTCGATGTGGACAAGGCTGCAACTCCACTACGTGAGCTACTCCAGAAGCAGATGGTCTTTTTTACTAACGAGAAGGACAGTGTTTCGCCTGCTCTTGTGTTCTTTCCCCAAGGGTATGGCCTATCTTGCGTTGAGACCGGATGACAAACTCAAGCCATCCATAGAAAATACCTCGTCTCATCACCCATCATTGCATATTACTATACCCAGCTGATTGGAGACGCCCGAAGTCCTCCCACTCTGCTTGCAAGCTCGGGTTTCTCCGGAATTGCAGTCATCGGTGAGTTTTCGGAGTTTCGCTCACCTAGTCGTGTCTGATTGAGCCGCAGATGCCGATCCATATATTCCCGGTGGTAACGGCGCCCAATGGTATACCAATCAGAATAACTTGTGAGTGTACACTACATCTGAGGGAGCCAGGTCAAGTCTCATCAGAGCCTTCCAGTTTCCGCTCTGTGCGCAACTTCGTCATTGATGTGACGCAAGTGCCTGCTGCTACCTCGGCGACTGGTCTGCACTGGCAAGTATCACAGTCAACGTCTCTGATCAATATCGTGGTCAATATGTCAACGGCGTCCGGGAACAATCACCAAGGTATGTGCGATATTCTCGTACAGAACCTTTCTGGGCCCAAGCTGACTTTCCCTAGGTATATTTATGGAGAACGGAAGGTACGAATAATCTGGCATTGCTTCCAATTTCTACCTTATTCACCCGGTCGGATCCAGTGGGGGTTTCATGGGAGGTGAGCTATTTTCATTCTGACACTAGGTATACTATCTCACCATGATCACAGATCTTGTCTTCAACGGCGGTCCGTCATACGTCCATTTGGATTGATCTTTGACGAACATGCATGACTTATATAGGGAAGTATGGCATTTGGGTCGGGAACCAGCAGTGAGTCATATTTACTATCATGTCGATCATGCGTACCATGTTGAGCATATCGAAGGTTCACAGTCCGCAACATTACTGTAAACAATGCTGCCACTGGTGAGCGGCTCACCCAAATATATTTGGTAGCTTAGTCAACCTCGTGACAGCTGTGTATTCTTCATGGAATTGGGGTAGGCTCAGGCTGCGATATCTGCAAAAGGATGCTCAATTCACAAATGTAGGTTGGACATTCCAAAGGGTCACTATCAACAATTGTCAGGTATGTGCCTGCAGTTATCTCTGTAAGGCAATCTGATACAATTATAATTAACAGGTCGGATTCGACGTTGCCACCGGAGGCTTAAGCCAATCGGATCAGGTAAGGATGGTCGCCTTTTCTACGTTTCTAATACGGTCCTGATTATAAACATAGACTAGTGAGGCCTTGGCTATCATTGACGCCGTTGTCAGCAACACTCCCATTTTCTATCGAACGTCGACCGCTAGCAATGGCAAACTCGGGGGCTCAATCGTCCTTAACAATGTCCAGCTAAACAACGTGCCCACTGCCGTCGGTGTCGTGGGAGGCGCGGTCGTCCTCGAGGGCGGAAGTACCACCATTAGCTCTTGGGGCCAAGGCAACACGTATAGCGGAACGGGTTCTACAGGCACATTCGTACAAGGAAACATCCCGGCTCCTAACATTGCATCCAACCTTCTGGACGGTTCCGGGTTCGTGTTTGGAAAGTCTCATCCCCAGTACGCCGACTATGCCGTCTCGCAATTTGTCAGTGTCAAGTCCCAGGGCGCCAAAGGTGATGGGTCTACCGACGATACGGCTGCGCTGCAAGCCGTTTTCGATCAGGTGCGTTCAATAAACCTTTAACTTAGCCGTCGTCGTGAACTACGCACAGTACTCTGGCTGCAAAATCATATTCTTCGACGCCGGAACTTATTACATCACATCTACCCTCACCATTCCCGCCGGCACGCAACTGGTAGGTGAGGCATGGTCTGTCATCATGGGTGGTGGCAGCGCCTTCTCCGATCAATCCAACCCGACTCCTGTGGTGCAAGTTGGGGCCTCTGGTTCTAGCGGCGTTATTGAGATCACGGACCTCATCTTCACCACGAAGGCGCAAGGTACATGAAGGTGTACGACCACTATTTCAGTTCCGCTAATACTTCTTTACGCAAGCTCCTGGAGCTGTGGTAGTCGAGTGGAACGTCCAGCAATCGTCGCAGGGTGCTGCTGGCATGTGGGACTCGCACATCAGGCATGTTCTGATATTCGAATTATCCACCATCTTTTTCACGCCCGCCCTATAGGCTCGGGGGAGCTGCAGGCACCAATCTTCAAGAGCCCGCCTGTGTCGCTGGCGTAGACCCGGCAAACTGCTATGCCGCATTCCTTGCTCTTCACATCACATCAGGTGCTAGCGCCTATCTGGAAGTAAGTATTGGTCGCTCCGCTACCATTAATAGCCTAATCCTCCTTAAGGGCACTTGGGTTTGGCTTGCGGATCACGATCTTGATGGCGACGGTTACTCACAGATCTCCCTGGCAAGTGGGCGTGGTGTCCTGTCTGAGTCTGCCGGTCCTGTCTGGTTAATTGGTACCGGTGAGTAATCCAGTGCACCTCGTCCCACTTCATCAATTGACTGATAATACGATGGAACTTAGCCTGTGCGTAGAATTATAGACCTATCTTGCCAAGCCTGACAGCTACGCAGCTGAGCATCATGTGATGTACCAGTACGCTCTTATAGGAGCCAAGAACCACTACTTGGGTCTCATTCAGACTGAGACAGTAAGCCGACTATTTCCTTCAGTGCCCATTACAAAGTATTAACAATCTTGTCTTCTAGCCCTATTTCCAGCCTGACCCCGCCCCACCGACGCCGTTCACCACGAACTCTGCTTACCACGATCCCACGTTCAGCGGTTCGCAGTCCGCTTGGGGTCTCTACGTGGAAACCTCTAGCGACATTGTCATTTTCGGTGTGGACCATTTTGTGCGATTCCTATCTTCCAGCTTACGCCTCCGAATAGGTGCTGGTCACTACAGCTTCTACGATGTGAGTTTTGATGGTTGTGTGCTTCTCAGGATGCTCTGTAACCTCTCCCAATAGAACTACTCTCAGGATTGCCTGGATACCAATACTTGCCAAAGCCAGATCGTGAATACCGACTCGGGCTCGTCCATCCAGATCTACAGTCTCTCCACCGTAGGGACAACTTACCAAGTCAGCGTGAACAGCCAGGGCATCGTGAATCAAGACGAGAACATCAATGGGTTCGCTTCCACCGTCACGTATTGGTCGCCATCATGATTGTTTGTGCCCGTGCGCTCTCGACGTCGAGCATCGGCGTCGCCACTCTCATTACTTCTTAGTGTGCTGTTGATGGTGCATCAGCAGTGACTGGCATTCAATAATCACGTCCCACTTTCATTCCCCATATACCATTCCCATTCTCCTCGGTTGTTGTTGCAGATACAAAGAGCTAATATGAGCTAGCCTCATGCTTGAGCGAAGTATGCAACGTGGCTTAGACAACAATTCAATGTATAAAACTGGTACCTCCGAATAAGAACACCCGAGGTAGATAACTTGCGTTGAGCGTGGCCATCATATGCAAGGGGGGGCGGAGAAAGCCTCGACGGGTTGGCGGTCACGGGGTCCTGCTCTCTCATTGGACGATGATCATGAGTCGCTGAGGCTGTCTACTGTACTCGAGTGTATCTCCCGAGAGCACTACACACCCAAATGCACCTAGAGTTGGTGACCACCCCAGCTTTATGCATTACTGAAGCTCAATTGGCAACCAGCCGAAGGTCGTAACCGCCAAAATGGGTCCAACTCAGGCTCCTAAACCACCACGCTCCTCTACCCAGCAGTTGTTCCGAGGCGGCGCATCTACTAGGGCAATCGGTTATGTGCGGACCGTGTGCAAGACATGCGATACCTACTAAATTTAGCTCTGGCTTGCCTCTCCACGACTGCTGGCAGAAAACATCTGTAAACATGTGCCACCTTTACAAGTGACTGCCTTTTCAAGTGCAGTCTTGCTTGGTGCGTCTCCTGCTTGCTTCTCGATGCTGCCTCTGCCTCTGTGGGCAGTCCGTGTCCTTGAGCTATACAACATCACTATGGTAGTGTGAACACTTTCCAGTGAGTTCTGCATGTAGAACTTCCATAACATATATCCAGTTCCCTGGGAGATCAAGACTCAAGCGGCTGAAGGGGATGTTGTCTCGTCTACGGTAACAGCAGATCTTTTCAATCACAGAAAAGAAATTGCTACACTAGTAAACCAAGCCTTACATATGTGGTGCTCTTCCAAGCATCAATTTGTTGCAGTTCCTCTACCACATACAAACCATTCAGAAGGCCAGTGGGCTACCAAAATGGTGTATTCAGTCTATAACATATATATCATGGCCTCAGTATACTCGTCATTATGAATTAGTATAAGAGACCTGCAGCATACAGTGCTGAGGCCAGGGTTGTCAGTGACTACGTTAATACTACGTTAATACCGTGGGAATGACCAACTGACTGTTGTGACGGTAATTTGGTCAGTAGTCACAGTATTTATGGTGGCTGAGGGCCTGGGCAGCAGGGTACAACTATTATTTCGTGCCTGTGGTATATTAACCAGGATCTAAGTGGATGTAGTGGGCTCTATAATGTATCTTAACGCCAATGCTAATCTTTTGCATGCAGAGCAGAGCCCATAACCCGCTTTCAACCAGTTTAGCAGGTTCATATTGGTGTAGTTGCGGCAAACGGGAAATGCCAACATCCTTGCCCGTGGCGTGCGAAACATCACGCTAAATTTAATACGGCGGAACATTCCGCATTTTCCCTTGCTATTCCCGCTACCGTAGGTAGTGGGTCTTGGACCCCCGGCCGTTCGCAGGTTTCCTGCGATCGTTTCAAGATCTACGTGATCTATTTGACACTATTTGGCTCTTAACCGTATATGGCGGACGGCAGGACCGGCACACGGCTTTGGACCAATCAAAGACGGGGTCCTCAAAGGACCCCGATTGTAAAACCACGTGGCATCTCTCTTTCCATCTTTAGCCAAGGTGGCGGATGCTGGTCAAGGGACTCAAGAGAACAGACATGACCTAGCTTGGGGCGTTGGAGATGCGGTCTCCAGGTGAAAGCAGCATACTTCAATGTCAGCTGTTTTACATAAATGACTTGTATACTCAGAACCTGAGGGAGGAGTGAGTGGACATCTCTTCAAATCGTTGAGGTGAATGCTCAGTCGGAAATCATGGCTGGAACACAACTGCTTTCGCAAAATAAATATATTAGTATATGATGCTGCTCAGGATGTCAAGTTTTCAGCTTGCTACCAAATCTTATCTATGTCTACGGTAGCGGGCTCTGCCGCTCGCACGGCCCTACCGCCTTATTTTGAGCTCCGTTGCCCTGCTAGCGAAAGGACTGTGACTACAGTGACCACGTGGTTATACCTAGTAATTTCGGTAATAACTGAAGTCATTTCAGTCACAGTCACGAATAATGACTATGACGCGCCAACACTGGCTGAGGCCATCATGTACAGAGGTATCGAGAGGCGGGTGGGAGACGCACCACGCGAGACTGCACTCAAAAGGCAGTCACTTGTAATGGTGGCCGCATGTTTACAGATGTTTTCTGCCAGCGGTCGTGGAGAGCCAGCTAGAGTAAAGTTTACCATAATCATACAGCT